CGCAGCCCCGCGGGCTCGCCGTCAAGCGCGCCATCCCGCAGCCCATCCAGCCGGCCCAGGGCCGCCTGTGGACCGAGCTGCACCAGCAGATGGTGCGGCAGTCGTTTGTCCTGCAGGCGCGCTACCCCGTCAACCGCGACGAGCTCGGCGCCGCGCCGGGTCCGGCCACCTCGCCCGGGGCGGCCGCCATCCTGTCGGGCGCCGCACAGGGCACGCTGCGCTGGACCGACATCCCCGACCCGACGGGCGGCAGCAGCGCCACGGGCATCACGCGGCTGGTGACGCAGCGCAAGAAAGTCGAGCTGCCGGAGACGCGCAACCTGCCGGCCATTCTCACCGACAACGGCTACCGGTACGTTCTTTTTGTTGTCCTCGCTTCGCTCGCTTTTTGTTGTCCTCGCTTTGCTCGCTTTTTTTTGCCTCGCTTCGCTCGCTTTTTGTGTCCTCGCTTTGCTCGCTTTTTTTTGTCCTCGCTTCGCTCGCTTTTAGTTGTCCTCGCTTCGCTCGCTTTCTTTGGTCCTCGCTTCCCTCGCTGCTCGCTTTTGGTTCTCGCTCGTCTAACTCGTCAGCTTCAAATCCGAACTCATCGAAGAGTCCTTCATCTTCTACAGCAACGGCAACGAGTACGTCCTCGCCCGCTACCACCGCCTGCCCAGTGCCGCACCGGCCGCGCCGGGCACCCCCTTAACGCCCCTGGCGGCCCTCCCGTCCTGGGACCAAATCACAAACAGCGCCGGCGTGGACCCGTCGCGCCAGTGGCTCTTCTTTGTCCGCCGGCACGTCGTGGACGACACGTCGCCCGACAAGATGAAAAAGGCCCTCGAGGCGCTCGAGGCCGCGCGCGCACAGCTCACGGGCATCTTTGCGTTTGTGCCGGTGGACCGGCGGGCCCACGACACGCGCATTGAGCGGCCGGCCGGCGGCGGGAATGTGGGACTGCCGGGGGCGCAGGCGCAGAAACTCCGGACGTGAGAGGCGACGAGGGCAGCGTACGTACAGGGTAGGCAATGGGGAATGGCGTTGTTGGATGTTTTGGACGCCCTCTTTTGGCACTTTTGGTCTCACTAGGCGTCGCTTTGGCGTTTTGCTTTCGCCTTTACGCTCGCCTTTATGCTCGTCCATCTACAGGACCACGGCATTGCAGAATTACAGCATGTCCGTCGCATTCTCGACTTCAGTTCTTGTTAGTCTTGATAGTGACCTTCCTTGATCTCAGTCTACGGCACAGCAGCGATCATCGGAATCGAAGCCGAAGCCGAAATCGAAGTCGACGTCGAAAAGTCGACGAGTCTTCGAGAAGAGACGTGGCTTATGCGAAACAGCATGTTTCGTCACTACCCAGCTCTACTTGTCTCTTGCGTCTTGACCGGTACTCTCTTTCCTCACCACATGCCTGTTTGCATAAACCATCGTACAGCCGTGATCTCCGCACAGTCCCTCTTTCGTCTCAAAACGGCGACTTCGCCCCGTCGCGGCCGTTGTGCGAACGGATGTTCTTGGGAGGCCGTTGGACGGCCATTCTAGAATGGCAGCCGTCCCTTTTGCCTGGAAGAGGGGTTTGGTCTGTCAGTGCGGCGGGCGATGCAGCAGAAGGGGGCCTCGCTCCAACGACAATTGTCCATGCGCGCAGGCATGGCATAATCCGGACTGGCACAGTGGCACACTGGAGCCTGTCTACCACATGGAAACACGAAACGTGGAGCGTGGAATCTGGCTGCACACGGCACAGGACTCAAACGCAGAGGACACAGACATGCAGATGCAGATAGACGTGCAGATGCGCATATGTGCTGCGACCGCGGAGACAGTCTTAATCTACCATTGTTTCGTCCCGACAATATGTGTCGTTCGCATTCGTCGATTCCCTCGTCTTGGTGATACGGATAAAAAAACAATATGTGCCGTGTCCAAACAACTCGGCATTGGGCTGATCAACCTGCCTGTTCATCGTCTCCCAGTATTTGTCTCCGCTCCGTCGGCAACACAAACAACCACGGCAAGCAAACATTCACATGCCCGAGCAAACCGCTCGTCGCGGGTAGCATTAGAGGAATAGAGGAAACAGTTAGATTAGACTTTGTTCGTACTGTCACAAGATCGTCTCCATAATCATCAATATCATAACATCACATTGGCAAAAGGGTGTCTGGGCATCAACCTATCCTTTTCGGAACCGCAATGGATTCACACTCCCCCACGTCGTGATGTGCATCACTTCGCTTCCTCAATGCCTCGCCTCGTTTTGCCTCTTCTTTTTCCCAATATTCCTTTCGCTTTGCCAAATTCAACCGGGAATGCGGCCGGACACGACTCTGGGCCCATCGACTATGGCTGAAAAGAGCGTCGATAGACACCTCTCGACCTCACCCGACCTCACGAAAGACGCAAAATGTCGCAAAGGCCTCAACACCGTCCCAAAGCAGCAATGTTTGTGTCCCATACCGAGCGACATGACAACGATCGTCACTCGTCGTGGAGAACTCTCAAAGTGTCAACGTCGGCAATCTCGTCCGCCTGCATTATCGACTCTCTTTGCCTCTTTTGCATTGCACCCCCTAGCTCGGTGGTCTGTGTCCCTCTTTTTTTTTTTTTTTGCCTCTCTTCATTTTGTTCTTCTTTCGGGGCGTTTGATTGCTGGTGCCTTGCTTTTTTACCGCTTTGGGCGGTCTGCAGCGCGGATGTCGCCCCGGTATGTTGATGTTCATCAAGTGCCGTCGTCTCGATGTCTTACGCAATGTGATTTTTTGGCGCCATGTCGTAGTTCAATGGCCCTGCTTTAGCCTCTTCTTTGTTACTTCGTCGACCTCGCTTAATACAGTCATCCACATCGGGCCTTTTTTCAGTTGCTCTTACTCGCGTTACGCCCTCTATCACCGCGGAAAACAACAGCACGGATAAGATACCATTCGAGTTCAGGCCCAGGCCCACGGCGCTAGGCGGGGGCCCTCCCGGCGGATCTAGTGCTGGTCTGGGCACGTTAGCGGGCTAGGGGTGCCTACGACGCATATCACAGCACGAGTAACGAAATAGCATAATAGCGACGACCGAAAACAGATTCCCGTGGGATAAATAGACAAGGAGAATGGACTTTGTGTCAAATGCCCAAAGAACCCTCAAAGAGTTTGGAATTCCCAAACTCAAAGCAGGTAACGAGCATCGACTCTCCAAAGCGGTTCAACAGACTCTGAAGTCTCAAAATGGCTCGAGCAAAGTGGCCTCTTTTGGCTGGAGTTCATATGAGGTGTCCAGAGTTACATCGTTCGTCTTGTCATCTCCAAAGCATTAGCAAAAAGCAAGTTGGTAACCACTGGGCGTTGGGTCCCAAATAGGAGACTCCAAGGTCAAACCCCAAAATCAAAATAAAACTTAAAAAATAAAAAAGCAAAAAGCAAAGCCAAAATCCCACTCAAGCCAGCCGTAGATCACAATGACGACAAAAGAGGGGAGCGTTGCACTTGATGCATACTCTGATCTTTTGTGTGTCAATAATCAATCATGAGGGAGCATCGCGTACGACGTCCTCTGCTCGCCTAGCTCTTACTTGACCTCGTATGGCGTAATACGAGGTCAAATCGAGGGAACGGTGCGGCAGATGACGACGCAATGGATGGCCGCCGATAGCAAATAGAGCGGCATCGCGACGTCTCGACTGAGGCAAGCCTCCTCTCATGAGTTTACTCTACCTCCGCCCCCAAGCTCTTAGGGCTGTCCTGGTCGCCCTCGGTTAGGAGCGATCGACACAAAAACAGACCTGCGTCCGTTGATCCGTTCATCCATGGTCGTCCTGCACATGCCAGATCCCAGAACGCAGGCCGATGCGTCCCCTTTGGGTTTTGGTGAGAGGAGCAGTTCACGCGATTCGTAGTTTGCCTTCCGCTGGCCATAGCGTCCGATGCACACAGCGCGTTGCCCGCACGGTCCGTGGCGCCCGTTGCCCGGATTGCAGCGTGCCCCGTCCACTATCAACGCCCATGCCCCGTCTCACCTCTTCGTCTTTTGATCCACAGACTAGTAAAGGCGCAAACCCGAGCCAACCGCGAGCTTTGCTGGCCTCGACTGGCATGTGCCTGTCCTTTTCCTATACAATGGTTGTTTGGTTTGGTCTACGAATGTACAAACTTGGCCGATGCTCTCAAATCCTTCCTCAGCCTGCATCCTCGCGCATGGTTTCTGACGTCCTATCTCACTGCCTTTTTTAGTCTTCCCATGTCGACTTTTGACTTACACTTACACACAACGTTGTCCGTCAGACAGTCTTCCTCTTTTTTTGACAGTGCCGGCTGCCGGTTGGACAGACGCAAGGCAACTCAGCCCTCGCTTTCCTTCACTGCCGGAGCTTATGCCGGGCTACTGTAGGCCCCCCCCCCTAGAGCCTGTCTATTTGGCGTCTATCCATGCTGGACTGCCCCTGTCTAGTCGCTTTAGTGTCCTTGTCTAGTGTCCCAGCAGCGCAAATAGACTCCCAACGAGGACAAGACGAAAAGTGAGATGGGCTCGTACGTCGTCGGTTGCTGTCTTTCTCAATCTGCCCCCGTCTGACTCCTCTGCTTTCAACGTCCGTGTCCTGCATTAGGGGATCTGCTTTTATGCTTTTCTCTTCGTAATACCTTCGTAATCTGAGTCGGCAAACATCTGACAGACTGTCTCCGTGCATCCAAGTGCCGCTGTCGTCGCAAGCATGTGCGTGCCTGCAGTAGCCAACTCTTCACCTACCGTTATGAGGGTGGTGCTCTGTCGTTTGAAGGACACCGAGTGTTGGCCATGACCGTTGACGGTTGGCCGTTCCTGTTGACCGTTGGAAGCGTTACTTATTACGTCTAACGCCTGTAAATACTACGAAGTAGCTAAAGGTTTGGCTGCCAAACATAAAAATGAAAGACAACACGCGGCAGTGTCCTCTGTGCCTCTCTCTCCACTTTCCAAGCCCACTCTCCATCAGCACCGACCCGACGCCATGTCTTTGTCGCTGTCGGCCCTGGAAACAGAGATCCGCCTCAGCATTACGCCGCAGCTCTGGGCTCTGGATGTGGGAACAACAACTCGGCAAATCCAGGCATATCCAGGGTTTTGGCCCATCGTTTCCTGATTCTGATTTCTTCATGGTCCCAAAGAGGCAGGACCAACACAACAACACAGGGGGACAAGGTCGGCGAACATTGGGGTGGATCGATTTGGGGCTCGACGGAGAGCTGGTGGGCTCGTCGAGAGGGCACGTTTCTACTTCGTACGTTTCTGGCCATTTTCTGCGTGGATTACCACCTGGACGGAGGACTCCTCACTCCGTGTGCATGTAAATACAGAGCATCATCCGCATCTCAAATCCTCAGCATCCACTGTGGGCTATCGGCGAAGACGACAAACCCCCCATGCCAGGAGCCAGGTTAAGATGATGACAACCCCTGAGCTGTTACGCTTTTACGGAGTAGTAAATACCACGACAGGCAGGGCACCCCCATTGCCCACGACGTCGTTGCCTCTTTTAGCCCATGCCCAGTCGATCACAGCCTGTTTTGGGGAGGATAGCGAGCGAGGTCGTGAGAGGTCCAGACAGGTCTAATTGTCCCAAAATGACAATGCCGTGTCTTTTTTGTAAAGGTCAGTGGCAAAAGCCGAGAAGCCGTAGTGCCGTATTACATCGTACGCTATCTCGCTATGTTGTTGGGCGCCTGCTTGCTTCCAGGTGGCGATGGTCGCTGATCAGAGCTGTTTTTTGGGGGGGAGGCGACCTGGTTAACTTGAGCTTGGCTCGATTGCTCAGAGCAACAACAGGGTCACAACGAGAAAAGAGCTCTGGTGGAGAACGACACACAAAATACGACGAGAAAGAGGCAAAATACAGTGTCGATCGGAGGAGACTGGGCCTCCACCAGGGCTCTGCAGACTCGTAGGATTCCGTGACACAGGGATTTCCCTGGACGATACGGAACGGCAAAGTAGCGTGAACGGTCATAACGGAGGGCAGCATCAGAAGGAACGCAGGCGAGTCAACGCAAGCGAGGCAGGTGTCAGTGAGGGAGTTGTGCAGAAAGAGAAAGGGGAATCCCGAAAACGAAGAACAACAAAGGCGGAAAATATCTCTGCCAAACCAGATCCACGGCCAAGGTATTCTGTATACGGGCCTGGTTGTTTTTTCCTCTTTCGTTTCGTATTGTGGTCGTTTCCTGCTCGTTGCCGTATCGTCGGACAATTTTCTCCTTGACACGTCGCACGGAGTCGTCCGTCCACTTACACGAATTGTCCGGTCGTCTATTAGCTCCAACTCCTCTTTGTCTCTAGCAATTTGCACATCTTTCTGCTCATCCTTTCACATGGGATTGAAAAGAGCAAGGGAAGAGAGCCAGCACATGCGGCGTGTGGTGTAAAAACATGGCGATACGAAGTAGCGCATCTGTCGAAAAACGTACTTTGTAAGCCGTCTCCATTGCACATCACATGGGCCCCGAGATGAAAATCCCCGACGCGGCGATCCGAGAATGAGGCAAGATAGAGGCACGGCAGTTGGATATCACGACAAATCTTGCGTACGAGAGATGGCGTCGTCCACGTCCGGATGATGTCCGTTGTAGGAGTACAGAATACCTTGGTCTTTCTCGTCCTTGTCCTCGACCATCTCCTCTTCAGAACTGCCTCGCTGCCGTCTGTGTGCCTGTTTTCTCTGTCCGTTTCTGTCGTATCCATGTCGACGCCTCTGTTCCACGCTAAGCAAATTGACAGCCTGGGGTCATTTTGTAACCCTGCCTGTGCAGAACATCTGACAGTTTTGCCTTGATTTTCATCAACAACCAATGTCCGGTCTGTCAAAAATCTGCAGCGTCACCTTTGGATAGCATGAAAACGCGTTCCTATTTTCAGCTGCGATAACAGCTTCCGCATGGCGGATGTGAAATCGTTTGGTACGACGCCGTTGTATCTTCATCACATCCGATTATCGCTCTCTGTCTTGTCAATTGCGGATGAGGACCCATGCCATGTGCAGCCATTGTTGTTGACGACTTTTCCACCATCACAAGGACCATCGACAGACAATGTACAAAGGACAACGTGCAGAATACGAATTACATCGTACTCCGAATCAAACAAAGACGCGGCGCATTCCGCAGGGACATCACAAGGATGCAGTAAGCCCAATTCCATCACACTACGTTTAAATCACAATCACATTCGGTCCATGCAGTTTTGGGCAGGTTCCCCCACGCGGCGGTGTGATTTCAATGCTGCTCTGCTCGCTCATCACAGCCCAGGCCTGGCCGTTCACGTCCTTTTCTTCTGTCTTTCAAAGGGATCATCCTCCCATCCTCCCATCCCCCCATTTCACCCAGCGCCACGCAATATCAGCCAGATGCCCGTCCGCCTCGTCTTCTGGATGCAATGCTTTGCTTTCTTTTCCTTCCGTCTCACGCCCAATATTGTGACCGTTGTTGGCAGTACGAAGCAGCGATCGCATCTGACCGTCACATTTATGCACTCTTTCTGCCTTTCCTGCACCTGTATTTCGCAGCTGTGGCGCATTCCGTCTTTCCTACACGTCCCATCGTGACTGGTGGCCTTTGAAGCACATTGTGCCGTGGTGTATTTCGTACAGCATTGTGATGACCGTTCAACATGGTACAAGAACAGTTCATGTACCTTTAGCAGATGAAAGGACTTGTGCGGATATTACTGTTGTCTCGAGTTTTCTTACCATTCTCTTTTCGTTTCTTTTCAGCTCCCGTCCGGCAGAGTCACCTAAGCCCAAGTTGGGCAGTCCCTTCACCAAACGAGAGCTGACAAAGATTGTACCTTGTCATCCAATTGACAGTAATCCATCATTTGCCTAGCACAGCGTATGTGATGAATGGGCCGGTATCGCCAGTCTATCACGTCTCAGAGGTTCAATCTCACATGCTTTTTTTTTTCTTCCTCATACTCCCTACAAGGACAAGAATAGATCACCGTCTGATCGTGATCATGGTTTATGGGGGCTTCCTGAACCCGGATTTTGGGTCTTCCGGAGTCCTCAGAGGTAAAACGGTGTTGCATAACGCCGTCATCACCTGGCAGACGAAATAGTTTGACGCATGGTAAAATACCATGAACACCATTCAGGGTCATCTCAAACGCACACAAGGACGAGAGGCCTGCTACCCGAGCCATTCCCACGTGCTGAAAATGCATCTGCACGGTCCTCTTTTCTTGTTTTTGGCCTTTTTTGTTTTGTCCATTTTCGCCCAGGTACGGAGTACTCCGTGTTCAGAGAAGTAGACGTACAAGATGAGACAGTCCAGGTATGATGCACAGTTACGTTGACATCCATCCAGTGCAGGGAACGAACTGGCGAGGAAGAAAAATGTGTCCGTGCGTAACCCGATTCGATTTGGAGGGAAAGGCAATTCTGTCTTCTCTGTCTTCTGTCGGCGAGCGACAAGAGATAGCAGCAGGACATAGACGCTTGGGGATAACTTGAAGACGGACGTGTTTTTCCTGTCCGCTGGCGTTTGTAACAACACCGTTTCGACAATGTTGATTCCGTTTCGACGTTGGACGTTGAATTTCACACCTCCGAGGACCTCCCCTTATTTAGACATAATATTACAAACCCCTGAAAACAAGTTGTGCGCGCTCGCAATCCCGAAAACTTCGCGCAAACGCAATGATCGTCCTGCTCGCATGCTGAGAAGTAGAAAATAGCTAGAAATAGGGGCTCGCGTTGCTACGTCGTTCAACGAGACGAAAGGATGTCGCAATACAAGGTAGACGGCCAGACTGGCGAGAAAGCGGGCAAGACACAAACGGAACCAGCGCCAATGTAAGACAAAACTAAAGCTAAAACCTTTGATCGTGTGTTCCAGGTATAATAACCTCCCCCGTACAAGATAACCTGCCTCCCTGCTCCGAAATCGCGAAAGGGAGAGCACATATTGACCCCGCTTATGTAGGGAGAAGTAAAAAGTAAGACAAGCATACGAGAACGACGGCACAAAAACACACGAAATGCAGGAAGCCTTTTACGGATCCCAGGCAAACATGATCGACGGCCAAAATGCGCCGCGGGACACGGCTATCCAAATAACGACGCAAAACACTCGGGCTTCCCCCCAAAGCTAGAGGATGCGAGGTTACTCCGAATGTCTCGGGTCCCGTAGATCGCCCCACGATAGCCTTGGGGCCGTTTTAGTATGTCGTAGAGGTTGTGAGGTTGCGAGGTTGTGAGGTAGTGTTGTAAGACATGCAATGGTGCTTATCAGCTGGGACTGGTGGACAAACATATCCAAGATGCCCAATGAACCGACAAGAAACGGAAGATCCCAAACGGAGCCGTGTGCTTCTTGTGTTGTACGGAATTCATGAAGGGCAGGAGAGGCGGGATGTGCACGATGTGCAAGATATGCACGATAAACATAAATGCCCACGCGTTGTATTTCACAAATACCGAGCATGGCAGGTGTCTGCTCAGGCTGTGCTGAGACCGATCTGTGTCTTGTCGTGCTGGTCATCGCCAAAACGGGCCTGGTCTAGTCGTAGTTTGAACGACAGTTGACAGTTGACCGTAGAGAAGCCTCTATTGGCCAGCCTTGCCAGTCGGTCTCCCTCTGTCAATTGCTTCCAACTACAAACAACTTTCTAATCAGTTTGCTCTTGTTGTGTGTCAGAAGCTACGACGTGTTATTCCGCACGTCGTTCAACGTACAGAGCAATCAATTTAACTTTCCCCTCACAAGAAAGTAGACGAGGTCAAAGCTTCCTGTCCCGTGTCCTTCCCCGCTTACCACACACCCTCTTTTGGGGCTTGCAAGAGCTTCCATAGCTTCATCGGCTTTGCTTTTTCTTTTCTTTTTTCCTTCCAGCCGTACATCGTCTATCGTCGGCCTGGAAACCGGTACGTTTCCCTTTGCTCGTCTATCCCTTTGAAAAAGGAATAAGAAACATTCATTACACATTAGGATACGTTGTATTGTTCGGCCGTCTCGCGGGCCTTTTCTTGTTTCTTTATTTCTGGCTGTACGACACACGATTGCCTTCTCTCGTGGCAGCCGGCCGGGATGGTTAAAAATATATGAAACGGGAACGCGAAACGCACGGGGATCTTTCTTTTTCGGTTTTGTTTCTGTTTCCTTTGTTTTCCTGGTCGCTCAAAATAGATTGCGACGGGACGATGACGGAGTCAATGAACCAAAACTATATACATATACACGTATAGAGATAGCCCGGCATTTCAAACGATTGATCTTCTGGGGAAGCGCTGACAAAAGGTCCAGCAGCG